ATATTCCTAAAAATTCAGGGCTTGGAGCTCTTCTTGAGGGAGGGTAGGAGGCTCCTATCTGAGCCAAAAAGGATCAGGTTATTAAAAGTGTCTGATAGTTTTCTAATCAAACTGTAGCAAGCTTAGAAGGAGACTCTCAGAGATGCAAAACTTGGTTCTCTATAGTGCTGCCTCATCATAAGACCCTGGTGCCAGTGGCAGTAAAGACTGGGACCCTCACTTCCAATCCAGCATTTTCTAGGACACTTTCCCCAAAGGCCTCTGCTCACAGTTCCAACTGCTCCACCTTCCCCACGGGGCCTTCAGTGGAGCCTAAAGACACAACCGTTTCTGTTGTCGTCATGTACTGTCAAGTCAGCTGACTCATCGCTGACCCTCCAGCAGACTTTCAGAAGTAGCTGATGGATCTGAACTACATGCCTATGGGTTGAGAGTGCAGCTCTCTATCCACTAGGTCACCACAGACACAATAGCAGGGCCCAGTTTATAACTGAAACCAATCTTTCCCCACAGGGAAGAGAGCCACCTAACTGCCTCCGGGGGACATCTGTGAGGCCTGGGCTCCACACATGCCCTACTTGTTTTCGGGAAACCGTTGGTGCCAGTTGATCCAGATTAATAAATACTTTAGGGTTTCCTCTGACAACATTCTCCAGAGAGGGGCACTTTGAACTTTAGGTTGCTGAGAGAATCATTAACAACCCTACCTCACCCCACCCCTATCCCTGCCAGCTCAACAAACACCAACTGGACAAAGAGCTTGAGCCCGGCCAGAGAGTCAGAGGCTGTTAGCTGGTGTCGTTAACAGAGCAAAACTACATAGTCCCAGTTTCTGCCCCAGAAGCTTCAAGTCCCCTCCTCAGAAAGGCCTCGCTGACCACCCCCTCTCAAAGACTGCTATCCCGTCAACCACTATCTTGTTTCCCTAGTTCCTGTCACTCTAGGAAAGGTACATTTTCTGACTCGACCTCAATTGTCTGTCGATACTGGAGTGCCCCATGACTTTCAGCACCAAGAGAGCAGGGCCTCCTCTGTATTTTCCGTAGCTTTACTATCCCCTGCACCTCAAACACTGCATGCCTCTTAGGAGGTGCTTCACAAACCCACATGCTGGGAGGATGAGCAGGCAAATCAATTGGAGCCCACGCGTGGAGACAGAGCCTCCGGGCTGCCGCCTGCCCCCTCAGCCACAGCGGGGCTGGCAAAGTGTCAACCAGAACTCCTGGCCACAAAACACACACAACTCAGAGAACACGCCTGGAGCCTTTCCAGCTCCAAGACTCAGCGCCTCCCAAATCAGGCCATCTCCCCCACGTAATGCTGACTGCCCACAATCCACTGTGCTCTGGACAGTGGATGACACTCAGTTACAGGGACACTCAGAGATACTTTAAAACGCTACAGTATTTTCCCAGTCTCTACCAGGACCCAATCTCCCTTCTGCTTAGTTACAACAGTATCTGGAGAAGAGGTTCCTGGTGCCTTCCCTCTGGGGTCTCGGTGTCCTCTGCCATTCCAGCAGCCACCAACACAGGTGGGAGCAGCCTGCTGGTGCTGACAGAGGGGCAGATTTAGAAAGCTCTAGTCTACTCTTCTCTATACTTCTGCGTGTTTTACAGTAAGAAGGTCTAAAAGCCAGACACAAGCTAAGGAAAGAACATTCAAATACTGAAGGGACTAAACTGAAACGTCAAGTCACCTCCATCCCCACCCCTTGTCCTGTCCCAAGAGCTGTGGCTGACACCTTTCTCTGTCCTTTGGGAAATCTTGTGCACAGACACACACACATGCACAAGCCCATATCACACAGGGTACACCTACTGTCCCTTTCTCATTCCCATCTAGCACCTTCCAACCCTTTCCTAAGCAACAAATGCAAACCAATCAGAAACGAACTGACCTAAAACAACTATGAGGTATCATCTCACCCCAGTCAAAATAGCAAAATTTAACAGAACAGCAAGCAACAAATGCTGGCGAGGTTGTGGAGAAACTGGAACCCTTATTCACTGTTGGTGGGAGTGTAAAATGGTGCAACCCCTGTGGAAAGCAGTATGGCGCTTTCTCAAAAAATTGCAAATAGAGATACCATTTGACCCAGCAATACCACTACTGGGAATATACCCAGAAGAGACCATAACTGACACAGATATATGCACATCCATGTTTATTGCAGCTTTGTTCACAATAGCAAGGAGTTGGAAACAACCTAAGTGCCCATCAAAAAACGAATGGCTAGAGAAGCTGTGGTATAGTCACACAATGGAATACTATGCTGCATTAAAAAACAAGGAACTCATGCAATATTACTCAAAATGGTTGACTCTGGAGAACATTATGCTGAGTGAAATGTCCCAGTCACAAAGGGACAAATATTGCATGGTGCCACTGTTGTAGAATGGGACTGTCCTTGGGGTTGGGGAGAGACTGAGTAAGATGGGTTCAATAATGTATGCTGCTCTGAAACAGAGAAGGGAGAAAACTGTTTAAAAGAGATATGTGATTAGGTATTTCTGTCATGACAGGAGTCTAGAGCAATGGCTACATGGTGGAGTGGACCTGGGGGAGGGTTTGTAAAATAATGAAAGAATCTTTTCTTTTACTTTTCCAAGAGGGTAATGTCTGGTGGGGGGGAGCCTTGGGAGGGGACAAATCTACAACAATGAATGAATGGAAATCCAAAGCCTCTGTAAATTTTCACTGAAATTAATAACATTTAAATTTAAAAAAAAGAATTAAGTTAGAGTAAGGATGGCAATGGAACCACCTTACCTCTGTAACTTGATTTGTGCCACTATTAGAACCTCTACTCAGAATATTATTGCTTTTCAATTTTTGACTCATGCACTTTTAACTTGTTAGTTAAATTTGTATCTTCTAGGCTGCAACACCTCCATGATACATCTTCAAGGATATGAAAATGTATGGCTAAGCACAATTGATAACAGTGCATCTAAATTCCAAAATCAATCTCCATAATAGTCTATGTGTTTCCTACTGCCAAGGGGGCCCTTTAGAGTAGTGAGAGAAGACATTCACCCTGAAACCCACAGCGTCCCTTCTCAGCAGGAAGTAGCTAAGAGAATACGCCATCCCCTTTTCCTTATGAATCAGGGTGAAGTCTCTCTCAGGGAAGAGTGATAGGGAATGGCAAGGGACACACTGACAAAGGAGATTAATCAGAACTGGCTTTGACAAGCACTGTGGCAATTGGACAATTAAAACAGACATGGGGGGAAAGAAGAATGAACTGGGGATGAGGGTGGAGAAAACAGTGCAACAATAAATGAATGAAAACCCAAAATCTCTGTAAATGTTCATTAAAACTAGTAAAATTTAGTAAAAAATAAAAAAAAGAAATGAACTGACCCAAAGTCAACAATCAGAAGTCCCTCTCCCGGCATGTCTTTATCAAAGGCTCTCCAGGCTGGCCTGCTCAGAGGAGTGGCCATTTGGGTGAGCCAGCAGAGTCTTGGAGCTCTTTCACAAACACTTGGTTTGGCATTATCTGTTTTTCCCAACCACCCCCTGAGCAGTTCTGGGATCCCCCAGTCTTCCAAAGACAAGGCTGGCACTAGAAGCATCTGCCCCCCAACAACTAGAACGCCAAGGGGACCTGCGAGAGTCTCCAGACCCTTGCTGGCTAAAAGACAATGGAGTGTGGCTTCCAGACCCCTGGGAGAGCTCCTCATGCTCCCATGGCTAAGCCATCCAGGGAGCAGGCATGGTGACCACCTCGGTCACACAAGGGATGTGGGGCTGGGAAGAGTTTGCTCTAGAACTGTGAAGGATCTGCACTTCCTGTAAACAAAGGAAAACTGCGCAAGTTATCTCTTACTGCTCTTAGTAGGGGGTGAGGTGGATGGAAGTGGGCGTTCACAGCCCCACCAGCAAGAGTTAAGGCTCCACCGAGCCCTGCACTTGCTTGGTCACTAGTTTGCCACTGAAGTACAATGATGAGTGCCCAAAAATTACAGAGCTGGACGCTGCACCCCTCTCGTCAGAAAGGCGGGCGTGACCTTAAAAAGGTGCTGTCCCAATTGCTAGAACCCCAACACGATGGCCCCGAGTCACTCTTCCAACCTGGAACAAAACTCATCCCAGTGGTTCAACTCATGGCCAAGCTACAGACAGGCCTGTGGTGGCGTAGTGGACAGGGAGCTGCGGCGCTCACCAAAACGTGGTGCCTCTCTGTCGTGGCTCATTGAGATGAAGGCTGACGATCTCTTCCCTGATTTCCACTCTCTGAGACCCACCGGAGGGTCGCTATGAGTCACAACTGCCTTGAGGACAGTGAGGGGGGTTTTAGTTTTAACATGAGAGTTAACTAAGCACTTAAGGACAAAAGCACAGATCTGCCTTGGGATAAAGCCCAGGAGGGGGAGGATGAATGGACACGGAAAGGAAATCACAAAGAGGAAGCAGGAAGAGTTCAATCATACTATAGATGTTGTCATTAAAGTTCTAAAATAAAAAGTGTACAAATGGTGGACTAGAAAACCAATTTGCCTTGCAAACTTTCACTTAAAATCACAATTTTAATTTTTTTCCCCTTTTTGAAAAAGGCCCCATCCCTTTCTTGTCTTTAGATATTCTACATTTACCCAGCAGCACCAGGCACAGCGCTGGGCAGGAGACAGAACAGACTAGGCCCACAAAAAAAGCAGGAAAAACAAGCATAAAGGAGAACTCAAAGGTCCATGTTCACTCCTGAGGAACAGTCTCTGTGGTACGGACTGGACTTCCAGCTGGGGCCCGCTGCCGTACTGGCCCCCACACCACCCTGCTACCTAACACACTGGCAGTGTGGATAAAACCTAAACAAGACTTTAACCTAATCAAGCTTGAGGCGCAAATGTTCTACTCCTGGCATCAGAAATGAGGGAAAAGCCTAAACTTAAACTGAGAGGCAGAATAGCAGCTAGGCCGGCCAGGGCGTTTAGAGAACAAGTAGACAGGTCTGAGGGGGTGAGGGGTAGGGGTGGGGTGAAGACACCTACTTGAGAAGGTTTTCTGCTCCGGTTCTCATTCGAACAGCCTTCAGGATCTGCTGGTTTAAGGCGGCCCTCTGATTCTGCAGTTTGCTGCGGCCAGTTTGAGCAAGGGGGTTACAACCCTAAGGGAAAAAATGAAAGAAGCTCCTTCAGAAATCAGTCCCAAAGGACAATGTCTGATACAACAGAAAACATAACTGTTTTAACGTAAAAAGAACTAAGGATCTCTGAAATAAAAATAACATCAATACAGGGAGGGAGAAACGAGGAGGGAGATAGAAAACACTGAATAAAGGAAAAGCCAACCTTTCTGTAAACTTCTGTTAAAAGTACAGTAATTCTAAAAAGGTAGTCAATGGAGAAGATGTACAAATATGGAAGAGCATAAAGAACAAAGTAAAACATCAGTCATAACACAATCCCAACACGTTCACTGTCTCTGTCCTCTATTTGACAATCAGTAGCAGCATCCCCAGGCCCAGCTTCCTGTCCAGAGATTCACTGGAAGGCCTCCAGCTGGCCATGGCTAAGATTTATATGGACACGTACAGAGCCGAGTCATGAGAGCGAGACACAGGCCAGCTCTGGAGGACCCCACACCCAGGCTTTCTCATGCTCTTTCCTTGAGGAATCACACACTCTTCTCTCAGCAGCAAAAATGCAATGTGTGTGTGATGTCTCTGCCTTGGTTAGTCCATTAGAGAATCAGTACTTGAAGGTGTTTTGGTTGGGAGATTTTTAACTTGGTGGCTAGTTACAAAGGGAGGGGGGCTCTGGTGGCAAGACCCATAGAGAGCTCCACTGCTAACCCAAAACTGTATGGCTGGTGGTTCGAACCCAAAAGCAGAGAGACAGGCAATCTCCTCCAAGTGAGATTTACAGCTTCTGGAAACTCACTGGAAGGTCAGTTTTGAGAGACTGACTCGCTGGCACGTTAAGTGTGAGGGTGTTTTTTTTTAAGTTAGGCAGGCATCCTCACCAAAATTCCAGCCTCCCAGAAGTAAAGCAGGTTTTCCGCAGAAGCCACTTGGTTTGCACAATCAGTCTGAGAAGGTGAACCACTGTTGTCAGCCAGGATATGGTGGGAACCTTCCAAGAGCCAAGTTCCCAGATGTCAGGCAAGGGCCAGCCTTCCTTGCAAGCTACGCAGTTGGTGGTGCCTTTGGGTCAGCCTCAAGTCATAGAGACCTATGTCCCACAGAACCAAACCTAGCTCTGTCCTGTGCCATCTTCATAACCTCCACTGTGCTCTGCTGACCCTTATTGGCACAGTGGCCCGGGGTCTATCACTTTTTCCCCCCAATTACTACTTTATCAGGAAAATGCCCTTTATTATTAAATATTCCTCAAAACCCTAATTTTAATGACTGCCATTTTCAGAATCCAGCACTTCCCTGTTGATGGATGTTAAGACTATTTCTAAGTATATAATAACAGGATATACATTTATGAACAGAATTCTTCCTAATCTTGAATCTCTTCCTTGATGTGTATCTCTCAAGCAGCTCAGGTGGCCTAATCAGGAGTCAGGAGCTGCGCTGTCAACCCAAAGGTCAGAATCACCAGATGCTCCAAGAAAGCAAGACGGGCATCTCCTCGCCATGTGATCTGCGGCCTCAGAAAACCCGCCGGATGTTTAGCTGAGTCAGTTCTGACGTGAACACATGTTAACACAACACTGCACTGGAGTAACCAGCTTCCCGGGAGCCCTACCGTATTCCACCTCCCTCACCATCACTACATGCAAGTCCGCTTCTTCCTTTCTTTTCTTAAATAATAACTTATGGAGATATAATCCACATTGCATTAGATCCACCTTTAAAAATATACAATTCAACAGGCTTTGGTACATTTAGAGCTGTACAGCCAGCATCACTTTCTGACACCAGAATATCTCCATCCCTTAACAAAGAATTCTCTTATGTGTCACTCTCCTTTCCCCCATGCTCCTGACCCCTGGAAAATCCACTTTCTGCGTCTATTAATTAGCCTATTCTGGACATGTCATATATCAACGGAACTATGTATGTGGTATTCTGTGATGGGTTTCACTTAGCAGAAACTCTCAAAGTTCACCCAAGCTAAAGCTTGTATTAATTATTTCATCACTTTTTATCACGAAAGAATATGCCATTTGTAGATGAACCACATTTTGTTTATCAGTTCATCAGCTGATGGGCAGCTGGTGTTTATACTTCGTGGCTACTATGAATAATGCTGCTACACACACTGTGTACCAGTCTCTGTGTGGACATATGTGCTCATTTCTCTTGGGTATATACACCTTGGAGTAGAATTGCTGATCGTATTGTTAACTCTAGGGCGCTCTTGTGGTTCACTGGCTAAGGACTGGGTGGTTCAAACCCCTTCATGCTCTAAATGAGCACAATGCACCTCGCAATCTGCTCCTGTTGAGACTGTTGTTGTTGTTAGCACTGTCAAGTCAGTTTCTACTCACAGGACAACACCCTGCTCAGTCCTGTGTCACCCTCACCATCAAAGCTCTAGCTGAGCCTCCTGTAGCCACTGTGTCAATCCAATTCCATGAGGGTCTTTATCCTCAATTACTTTGTACTTGACCAAGCACGATGTCCATCTCCAAGCACTGGTCCCTACAGACAGCATGTCCGAGGGACATGAGAAAAAAAGCTCGCTTACATCCTCCCTTCGAAGGAGCATTGTTGCTGGACTTCCTCTAAGGCAAATGTGCTCATTTTTCTGGCAGTCTGTGGTATTTTCTATATTCTTTGCCAACACCGTAATTCAAAGGAATCAAATTCTTTGTTCTTCCTTAATCATCGTCCAGCTTTCCCATGAACATGAGACTAGATTTTCAGGCACATTCCTGTCCTCAAACATCTTTGCTTTTTAACACTTTTGGGAGGTTTTTCGTAGCACATTTGCCCAATGAATTACATCTTTTATCTCCTGGCCACAGTGTCGATTGTGGTTCCATGTAAAATTAAATCCACTGTTTTCTCCACTGATCACCATCGTGTGAAGACTACCGACTAGGAAACCAATGGGGCAGTTCTGTTCTGTCCTATGGGGTCACTAGGACTCAATTTACAGCCTCTAAAAACCTGCTGGAGGGTCAGTTCTGAGTCAGTTTCAATAGGACGGCAATGAATGAGTGAACTGTGTATGTATAGACATCCTATTCTTCAATTTCTATTTTTAAACACTTCCTCATGTATCACTTGCATGCCTTTTTCAGTTAATTGTCCACATTCCACACCATTATTTCCTAGGCTTTCAGAAGATGATGATGTTTCATTCTGAGACATTCAGTATCAAAAAAAAGGGAGGTTTTGTATAATCTCCTGGTGCTTTTCCCATCCACAGGCAGGCAGAGGTCCTGGAATCTGAGTTAGGGCTGCGTTCCTCATCTCCGCTTATCTTTGGGTCCTGCCCTCTGACGAGGCTGTGGCTACTCCCTGGGAGGGGCAGCGTGGACAGTATGACGTGAGGGTGCCCCAGCTCTCTAGCTGCGTCACTGTCGTCTCAGCTCACTGCACACCTAGCCTCCCCTACCTCCCCCAAAGCCATCCCCCCAAGTCTTGATCCTGGAAGTGGGTTATCGCTACAGCCCCAACCTCCTCAAGCTCCGTTATCAGGACCTTTGGACTAGTACGGGTAAGCAGCATTTCTCCTTCCAGAAAGATTTCTCATTCTCAGCCCCTGACAATGGAATCGTTGCCAACACAGTCCCCGCCTTAACATTCCTTCCCAGTTTCATAGGGACACTTACTCTCAAATTGAAACTGCACATAAATTCATAACCTGAGTTGGAATGAGTCTTAAAGTTAAGATCTCTTACACATCAGTAAATTTTCTCCGATTATTTTTTTTAAATCAGAAAACTAATTCTGGTGGCATTTTTTCCCTTAATGTATCATAAAACTATGCTTAATATTAAGCTAATGTAATATGTAAGGAGCCCTGTGGGTTTTGTATATTGTAGGTTGAACCCATCAGTTACCAGGTGGGAGAAAGATGGGCAGTCTCTAACCCGTCAAGACTTCCAGCCTCAGAAACTCAACAGAGGTCCACTCGGACTCAGAACCAATTCAACAGCATTCAACAGCACTGAGTTAATTTAATGTTTAAGCACTAAACCATCTCCTTTCGATCTTCTAAACAATAATGATAGCGTTTTGTTGTTGTTAGGTGCCAGCAAATCAACTGCAACTGAACATGAAAAACCAATCTGAACCCTGTCCTATCCTGTGCCATTCTCATCATCTCTGACACTCTTGAGCCCACTGCTGCAGTCACTGTATCAATCCACTTGGTTGAAAGTCTCCCTCTCTTTCATCGACCCTCCACCTTTCCAAGCATAATGTCCCTCTCTAAGGAATAGCTTTTTCTGGCAACATGTCCAAAGTGTGTGAGACGAAACTTTGTCATCTTTGCCTCCAAGAAGCACTCCGGCTTCACTTTTCTCCAAGACATAACCGTTTGTTCTTCTCCCAATCCGTGAAATAGTCAGTACTCTTCTCCAACACCATAGCTCAAAGGTGCCAATTCATCTGCCATCTTCATTCAGCTGCATGGAAGTGAAAAGACCATGGCCTGAATTATGTCTTCAAACTGACATGAAAGGGTGGTTTAATTTGATACAAAATTCCATGATTCACCAATGCTGTTTTATTTTACCAGAAAACTTTCCCAGTAAATGCTTTTGTGTGAGTTCTCAGAGCTAAGATATGCAGCCATTCCAGCTCACTGGTAAGAACTTTTCCTGCTCCCAGGTTTTACCCAACTTGTTGCTGGCTGGGAATGGCTACACCCTAACCAGCCCACAGATGTGGGGTCAGGTTTCTAGATAAGGTGCAGGAATGCTCAGGATTAGATTAGCCTGAGTAATTAGACCCAAAATTACATTAGTTCTTACTGACAGGTAAGAATGCCAAGTCCCACTGAAAGCACCACAAATGCTGGAGAGCTGTGTGGAAATTTCCCTGATCCCTGAGCCACGAATCTGGTGAACTGGTCAGCCAGAAAGACTCCCTGACACCAGCAGGGGCCGTTAGCTACGCAGCAGCCCCTACCAGGGTTCCTCAACTGAGGAGGTCCGCTCCTTAGTTCTCCCTGACTCGTCTAATAACAAGGGCTAACC